ACCCGGATAGAGATAGCGATAGAGCGATCCTCTTGGCGTGCAGACGCTGACGCGCCCCTTCGCAAAAATGTAAAAAAAAAAAGGTCGCAAAAAAAGAAACGAAAGCGCAAAATAAAAAAAAAACAGAAGAGAAAAAGAAGCAGGCAAGAATGAAGTAAAAAATGTGGCATGCAACGCCTTGATGTCTTCTTCGACTCGGGAAGACTGAAGACTGAGGACCGAAGACGGAAGACTGAAGACTCAAGACCCCAGATCCAAGATCCAGGGACGTCTTCATTAAAACAACAAAACATTTATGCGCCGCTTTGGCATGTCGATCGTAGCTGGGAGATCGTTTGAGAGCAGTTCGTCATGGCAGCAGACTTCGCTCTGGGCCAGGGGGGTTACAAGGGGTACTTTCAGGGGCTAAAGGGGGCAGCTGGCAACATCGTAACAAGATGCGTAAAAATTATTGATTTTCTTTGACTTGATTGTTGTTGGCTATCAAAATTTAATCATAACATGCAGCTCAACCAGCAAACAGGAGAGAGGCAAGAGTACACTTGGAAAAGTTATGGTGATGGTATAATGCGTTTAATGAAAAATAAAAGAAATACGGATACGGGCTTAACCTATTAATAACATGATCAAAATGAAATGAAATATATAATCTCTTAATGATTATTTGGATTTTAGATTTCTCCTCTTTGTCTTCCCGAAAGATGGGTTGGGAATTACAGTCACATTTCTGTGTTATGCATGATTCTTTCAGGCATACAAGATTTTGTCGAGTGCAGGGGGGCAACAGGTACTGGTAGATGGATGTGGCTAGCATGTTGCCAAGTTAACCACTCGGCCACTTCCACTTCCCCCGCCCCGTCCCGCCCATTTGAATTTTCAATTTTGCATCGCAGCAGCAGGGCAAAGTAATTTGCCGCGTTGACGTGCCTGGCCTGGCAGATGAGCAATGACCCGGCCCGACCAGATCGCCGGACCCCAGACCCCAGACCCCAGACCCCAGAATTCAGAACTCAGGACCCAGACCCCGAGAGCTACACATATACCCGAAACCAAACCAAACTGAAACGAGACCAGTGTACCAGTGCCAGAAAACCTGGACAGCCTTTTGCTGTCGATTTCACTCGCTCGTCGTGTCGATCAATTCGTTTTAATGCAAACAACTCGTATAAATTCATGTGGCAAGTGGGCAGCCAGCCGGTGTTTCCCGGCTCCTCGTCCCTCTGCTCCTTGGAGATCCCTTCCTGGAAACTGGCGAAGCACCATCCACCAGGCAAAGTGCAAAGAAATTCATTAAATTAAGTGCCACACATTTGTGGCCCACTGTGCGGTGCCTTTGGAGAACGGAGCTCTGCGCTCCGATTGCGGTTATTATTGCTCGTCCATAAAGCGGCCGACGGAAATGAGACTGTGGACAAGGACCTGGGCCTGGTATTAGTCAGGTTAGGATGGGATGGTATAGGATGGTATGGTTTGGGATGGGATAACGGGGGGTTAGAGCCCACCACATGGGACCGAGTTGAGTGACGGCGTCAGAGTCGGGACCTAGACAAATTACTGGGCACCTCGCAAATGGCGATTGTCCGGGTGTCTACTGTAATGCGGTTGGCGGAGTCGTCGGCTAATGATGATGGACTCAAGCGATCGGATCGGGTCTCTAGGGGTGGCAAAGAGGACTCTAAAAAAGGGAATCTCAAAGTATTTAGCCCACTTTATGTCCAAGTTATAGGATTACGCTGAAACTTTGACAGAATGTCCAGGTACACTAAGAACTTATATGTACAGTTTTTAAAAGACTACACAATAGACTTACTTTCAAAAATATACAGATTTCAGGTACGATAAAGGTATAATTCTTAGAAGACTTACCTTTCATATTATTTACCAACTTCCCACGTTTTTGGTCCAAACGATTTAACACACAAAGTAGTTGCGTCACAAACTTCAACTTAGAGTCGGGAAAACTCGGACAATCCATCAATGTGCCCAGGAACTAAACGCCTTTGACAGGCAATGAAAAGCGTCGCCGAGAAAGGGGTTACATTTTGGGTTTGGAGTGTGAAACAGAGGCGTACGAGGAAAATCCCCGTGTCAGGGGCGCGTGTCTGACTTTATGCCTGATTTTTTTCCTGATCCTATGATCCCGAGGGTTGACTCTACTAAAGTTAAAAAAAGAGTCAAACTGAGGGTCGCACAATTAGCAGCCCTAATAGTTTATGTGGCCTAACCTGTAGCCATTTTTTTTAACATTCTACCCAACATTACCATTTTTTGGGCGTTTTATTTGTGTATTTTTTAGTGTTTCTATTTTTTTTTTTTGGACCAGGCAAATCAAATCATGTGACAAGCTTCTAATGAACCTCAGAAGGCACCCCAAAATGCTTTTTTTTTCCTATTTTGGTGATTTTCCGTTCCCAGCCAGCGACATTTGTGTGGCCTATAAATGCTAATGAGCCCTCACATTTTTTTCGCTTTCGCCAGTTTCAATCTCTTTTTTTATAGATTTTTAGGGGCATTTTTTGGGTAATTTTTTGTGGGTCGTTTCGGAGGTGGAAAGTCGTCGTCGTCGTCGTTATGAGCCCGGAGCAGTGGAAGTCCCTGGGCCTCGGCTTGGGTTTCGTCTGGTGTCCTTGTGCTCATCATCATCATCGTCCCGAGGGCCTCCTTCCTTCATCTGCGTGTGCATTTTGTTCCACTTGAGTTTGTTTGTTTAACGACCTTTGAAATTAGGCAAAACTAAGGGGCAAAGGATGAGGCCCGCTCTTCTGGGGTTGACTGCGATTCTGATGCCGAGTTTGGGCTTGGGTTTTGGATTCTGGGTTATGGGTCTGGCTGGATTCTCGACTGGACAGCAGACAGCAGACAGCAATTTATACTGTTTGTATGCTAATTCTGTCGATCGCCTTTGCATCTGATTCGGATGCAGAGTTGCCATTTGCTGGCCCAATTTAAATTGGGTTAATGTTTTTAATTAGCTGGCTAAAGGGAGGGGTGCTCTAGTCTCGGGGGGTTGAAACTCTCGAGGAGTTTATGATCAAAATGATTACACTGAATTAATTTACAAGAAATGAAAGCAAGAAAAAAATCGATAAATAACAGTCGATAAAAGTCTAAGTATTTAAATTGTAAGCATATTATTTTTTCATCTTTGTATCATTATATTCATATAATTCGACACTGATTTCTAGCAGGTTTTTAAAAAATAAAGAACTTAAATACTAAATAGTCATAAAGTAAAATGCAAGGCACTACTCTGATTTTTTTCTTCCGATGTAACCTTATAGATTCCCGACGCTCTATGAATTCCCCATCAATCCTTGGGGGTCTCATTCAGTTTCAGTTGTGCCACCTTGGCGCCAGCTCTAAATGGCCGGCAAATGTTTGAGCCATTAACTGCCACGCCCCATATCGATTGCGGGCCAACATATGAGGCTCGTAACGTGCCCACTCTGTTAATCCAAATCCCCGAGCTGAGGACCCAAAACAAAAGCCAAAGACCTGTTCCAGTTGCCAGTTGAATCCGAATCTTCGTGGCAAATTAGGAGGACAAACCCCCGAAATGCTGCGGCGCACAGAACTATGCCAGAGATTCGAGTTCAGAGTCCAGAGTCCAGAGTACCAGAATCCATATACCACTTCCCCCTTCCTTTACCCCTCCCTCCACCTCCTTCCAGGGGAGTCGGAAAGTCAACAAAAACCATAATTCAGATAATTTTATTTATAACACCCTTGAGGAATTATATTTTATTTACTCTTTCAAGTGTGATGATGAGGTTGAGAGTGGGATAAGGGGTGAGGGCATTGTTGGATGGACCGATACCGATATGGCCAGAGTCCTTGTCAGGGACCTGCCCCCTTTGTTGTGTTTGGTGGTCGATGTTTGGTGTTTGGTGTTCGGTGTTCGGTGTTTGGTGAACTCTATGAAATGTCTGGGTCGCGTCGCACAGGGGTTGAACTTCGTCCTTCGACTCCTTCGATTTGCTAGCAGATGTGTTTGTAAATTGTCAAAATCTGTGTGCATTTCGGCATATGAAACTCACGTAGACGAGCGCTCTATGATTTTTATTGTATTCTGGTTTTTGGGAGATGTGATGTGCCTCTCTTGGCTGTGGTGCACTTGGTGGTTCGTGTGGTTAGCCAGTGGCCCAAGCCCCAAAACCCCCTGAAAACCCCCTGATAACCCCCTCTTAATTGCCCAGTCAGCAGGGGCTAGAGGAAAAGCAAAACCACTGGCACTGGCAAATTTTTGCAATTAAATTTCACTTAAAACTGCAACCGAACGGAGCAAAACCAAGGCGGCAAAAGGATATGGTATGGCAAATGGAAGAGGGTTTTGGGGGGAAGATCCGTAGGAGTAATTTACTTCCGCCATTGGAGCTTTAAACATATCCGAGCAACACCCACCACTTCCTAATTGTGGAAACCAATTTGCGCCGCTATAAATTAGAAAGACAAACGACGCTCCTCCTTGAATCCTGCTGAATTTCCAGAGGGGCAGATAGGCATGGGGGGCGTGGCCACTTCCTGTTCCTGTTTCGGTTTCAGTTCCCCCCGTCTGGCCGCACTCGCATATCTTGGAAATTTGCATAAATAGACTTTAATTGTTTGCAATTATAAAACGAGACCGAAACAAGCGGCACCGCCTCCCCCGGAACAACACACGGCCTCGTGGATACATGGGTCCGTGGACTCACGGATTCGTGGATTCGTGGATACACCCTGTGACTGGGACTTCACCATTCGGTCGGTCGATATCCAGCAGATACTATGCCTGTTAATTGTGCCCGCTATCACTGGCTGGCTTCCGATCTAACCGACATGTGGTGAAATCGCATAATATTTGTGCTTTGCTTGAAATACCTGCATAACCTTAAAATCAAGCATTATTATAACAATTGACCCCATTATTCTGATTACTTTCTGAGAGAACTAAGCCAAATTTAAACCTTTTCGAAAGTCATAAAATTATCAAACTATATCCTTATCTTTTCTGATCTATGTAGACTCCAGTCTTGAGGATAATGACAGCGAGGAGTCAACCTTTATCAAGGATGTCCACCACGGCTCGCGGAGCGAAGAAGAACCCAAACCCAATCTGGAACAGGATGAGGATGCAGAATCCTCGAAGCGAAGACGCTGCAGGACCAACTTCAACTCCTGGCAGCTGGAGGAACTGGAAAGAGCCTTTCTGGGAAGCCACTATCCTGACATATTCATGCGGGAAGCCCTGGCCATGAGACTTGATCTGAAGGAGGGTCGCATAGCGGTGAGTTCGAAATAAAATATTATTTTATAATCCATAGTTGATGTCTTAATATTTTATCTTATAACACATGCAATTCTTGGAGATTTCTTTCGAGATCACATTTGCTATCAAGAGGAACACTTATTTCTAGGGTTTCCAAATATTTCTTAGGAAAACCAAGTTGATTCCATGGCCAATTCCCTACCCCTATATGTATTATCCCCACTTCGTTCCATTTCGATCCGTTTCGATAACATTTGCGTGAGCATTGTAAAACAATTTGGTGGCAACTGGAACTCAATTACTCAATAAAACCAATTACCTGACTATTTTTATCCATTATAATTCATTTTATTTCATTTGCAATTGCGTTTCGTGTCGCTCGTTGTTGTAATGATTTCAATTGCATTCCCAGAGCGGAGCTTAACCCTTTGTCGCCCCCGTGCGGCCCCACTCCTTTAACCCCCTCTCCCCTGAACTCGAATGGCGATGGCGATGGCTGACTTTGCATGTCAGCCGTGTGATTATCGTGGGTCTTTGTCTATCTGGCTATCGTGGCTATATATGTGGCTATAGCCCTCTCTCTTTCGGTGACGGGGACATTTGGCTACGCTTTTCGTCTGAAATTGTTTCTTGACATGACATATCAATTTGTCAATGCGAACGACAAGACAGCGACAGTCTGTCCGCTCGTCATTCCCTCCAGTCAGTCATTCAGTCGACTCTATAGTATGTAACTCCACGGGTTTTGGAGAAAAGGAAAATAAAAACCCGTAGAATTGCGGGGCAGGGGCTCTTGTTAAAGCCGGGAACAACGAGGCATTGCATGCCGCTGTTCGAAAACAATTTGTTGCACATTAAAAAATGCACAATGCATGCAAATGACTTCAAATTGTCCCACACACACACACACAGGTCGCCGCCGCCCACTGAAAAAGCCCCTCCGCGACCCCGCCCCTGGCACCCCCTCGATACGGCTGGGTTCCCCGGCAAACTGCACGTCAATTAGCGACGCCATCTTGTTTATGACTCCAACTAACCAAAGCAACCATCCCCATCTCCAACCCCATCATCATCATCATCATCATCATCGCCCTGTGGTCACGATCTCCACCGCGATGAGGATGATGATCCATCTCCAGAGCGCATGACATATTGCCCTTGGTCTGGTTAATCGTCCGCATCCGAATTGGTGACTTATTGAAATGAAATGTAGGGAACTATGATTGTCCAGTAATGGATATGTAGGTCTATCGAAACATTCTAAAATCCAAATCCATTATTTCGAATGTTATACCACCGTAAAGATAAAGTATTTTATGATATTATATCTAATTCCGGATATTAAAATGAACTGGAGGGAACTTTGATTAGCCTAGTTATGAATATGTAGATATATCGAAACCTTCTAGAATCCAAAACCATAATATCAAATATTTTACATATATGCATCATGATAACATATTCAATTTCCTTGCAGGTTTGGTTCCAGAACCGTCGTGCCAAGTGGCGTAAAAAGGATCACACGAAGAAGGGTCCTGGAAGACCGGCGCACAATGCCCAGCCGCAGAGCTGCAGTGGAGCTCCCATTCCACTGACGGAACTGCGGGCTAGAGAGCGGTGAGTACGAGATAGGACTGAGATATAAGCCAGATCCCCTGATCATGATCCAAGCCGAATATCCTTGATTAGAGCCCAACGCAGGAAGCGGATGAAGAAGGCGATCGACCGGCAGGCGAGAAAGCTGCGTCTCAAAGGCATCGAAGTGGACCTGGCCCGGCTTAGGGCGGATTACCTGGCTGCCCACAAGGACAGCTGGGAAGAGGAGGAAGGGCAGGATCAGGATCTCGACCTGGAGGATGTGGGATGCTATGGCGAAGACGATCTGCCCATCGATGTGGTGGGCGAGGGCCAGGAGGACGTGACCGGCGACAGTCAGGACAACTCCTTTTGCTCCTCGAGGACCTATCAGAAGAGCACCAGCAGCGAACTGGATCCCGATGATATGGGGGTGCCCATCAAACTGGAAAAGGCCCCTCCACCCACCACGCCCAAAACCCTCTACAGCTCCCCCTTCAGCATCGAATCTTTGCTGGGCTCATAACGAATATCAAATGGCTTATATATACATGTGAAGTAGGCTTACAATTTCGGTGGCTAGCTAAGTACTAAGTGCGAATATAACCTGTAAACCCAAACTCTTCACCTTTCTGCGGTATTTTTTTTGTCTTCTGGGGGTCAAGAGTGTGCCAGTGCGAATTTGAGTACGGTTAGGAATACGCATGCCGAAATGCGAGTGCATTTTAATTTCCAGCCAACAGCCCGAGGGCCTTCGAGGGGTAAGACATAAAAAACCAGAGAGAGAACAGCAACTTCAAGAGGAGGAGGCAGTGCATCCATCAAGTTCACACGCAGGCCGCACGGTGGAAGCGATTTGGTAAACTCTGAGACAAAATAATAAAACAATTGCCGATAACAAAAATCGAAAGAGTCAATAAATGAGCAAATTACTACTTACTTCTGTACAAAACCTAACATTTATTTACCTATCTCTGTTGTCGATTATTTAAGCATGATTGCTATGATAGTTATCGATCATCTACTTGATCCTGCTTAGTTGATTTCCATTGGAATCATTTATCGATCATTTATCGCTGGCATTATGGGCTTTTAACACCAACCACTTCATCCTCCATGGTGCAGCGCATCATCAGCTCCAGTTGGAATCTCGGAGTCGCAGTTTCGACCTCGGGGCAATTTCAAAAATGCAGCTCGCGACCGTTGGAGCAGAGACAGAGACAGAGACATTGAAAGAGGGAGAGAGGGACGACTCACAAATGTAATACACACATCAGGCAAATAAATTAGAAGGCAACTCCTTCGGCAGAAGCGTCAGCCAGGCCGCGCCCCCCGTTCGCACTCGCGGTTCAAGGTGCCGGGCAGTCCTACAAAATGGTAGATACCGAACCCAATCCCGAACCCAAGCCCAAACTCAGAAACCCAGGTGAGTGGGGATGCAGAGTGGCGAGTAATGCAGACAATCCGTCATGCAGGTGTGAATGATTCATTAATTTCTCGCCTTCATACGAATTTTCATTTCAGTTAACATGCAAGCGGAACCGAAACGAGCCTCAAAGAGTTACGCACACTGCGAGAAAAACATATCCTGAAAGCAATAACCTAACGCTTTTAAGGTGGTGCCAAAGGCCAGTTAAGCTAGTATATTTCTCTATTATCTAGAACCATGTGCAGCAGTTACTTTTTAAGATATGTTTAAAACCCCCTATCTTCTTGGGTTTGCCAACTAAAAAAATTGTTGTAAGTAATCATATTCAACAAGATAACAAAATATTTTATATTTGAAAGGCTTAGTGTAAATGTATTTAAATGGCTTAAAAATAAGGAGAAATACATTTGATTTAGATTGTTAGTAATGTTCTTGCAATACCATATGAATTTTCTTCGGTGTGGCGAGGATCGGTAAAGAGGGTAAGACGGGAGAATAACTCTGAAGATGGAGATGGGGCTGGACTTTAACGGCGACGTATGCCTGGCAGCCTTCTTGAAGATCCGCTCGACTCCATCCCCATCCCCCATCCCCCATCCAGCCACATCCACAGAACCCACTGCTGATCCTCCGAGCTTAACGTCTTCATTACGCACGGCCACGGCCCACGTTTCCTGCCGCCTTCTCCTCTCCTGGCAGCCAGAAACACAAAAAGAAACAGAAACAGAAACGGAGTCGGATTCAGAATCAGAACCAGAAAAAGTCATACAGACACAGAAACCAGAGACCCACTCTGTCTACCTTGCCAATTTCGTTTTGCATTTTCAATTTCGTGGCATTTCCTTTCGGGATCTGCGAATCTGGGGATCTCGGGATCCGTGGATCTGGGAATCTGGGAATCTCGGCACCAGGGCACCTGGGGATCCAGCGTGGATCGAACCTAAGCCGAAACGCCAGCGGGTGGCCAGCGGTCGCAGCTGGTGGGGATTGTCTGCGGATCGGCGAGCGTTAATTAGCTGATGAGCCCAAAGATCAAATGCCAATTAACCAATCGAAGTGCACAAAAGAGGCTCTAATTGAATTAGGGTTAAATGACCCCGCTGTGATATCAGGGTTGTGCAAATAATTTCAGAAAACGTATGTGCTCGTAACCCAAAAGAAAAAATAGAAACTATAAACTATATATCTAAATTATTAGTTCAAAAACATGGTAAAAAACGAATTTCATTAGAGTGTACTCCATATTAATGGAATTAGTTCATAATATTACTGCACTACATGTATATTATCATTACCAAGTAACTAAAGAAAATAAATATATATATTATACTTGTTTTTGTTATTATTCCCCCGAAACACAATCAAATAGTTGTAGTCCGTAAACACCCAATTGGGTTCCACATTAAAAAAACCCAACTCATTGTTAACTGGGTAATTGGTTTGCACAATCACTTCTGGTCAATTCAATTGCTTGGCATATAAGATAAGTTTAAAAAAAAATGCATTTAGTGGGTACACAATGTTACCTATTGGAAAAGTAAACCTTATTTATATGCAAATTTGAAGTCAATAGGCCATTGTATAATTCCAATTAAGATTCCTTGAAATTAGCCCGGACCCAAGTTTTGGATACAAACGACATGCGTGCGAGGATTTCACACGAATTGCAGCTCGTTGCGGGTCGTAAAAAGCGCTGAATGATCTTAGCCTGCTGTTTGCCGTTTGGATGGATCTTAATATAACAACAATTCATATTTTTTATTACACCTACTTTGGGGCCCACAAAAGGCGACGTTGAGCCGATCGGCGACCAGGCGAGCGGTCCCGAAATGAAGGCGTTAACCAACTTTAATACATTTATTTGGGCCACAAAGCCAAGCTGGCCGGGATTGGGGATGGAATGGTATGGTATGGGGACTTCAGATTCGGACTCCAACTGAAACTGAGACTTCCACCTCGAACTTGGCAACTGGGCAACTCGGGAACCCGGGAACTCGGGCGCAGGCGCAGCAGACGCTGCCATATCTGTCCAAAGTAATAATTATGTTTCACGTTGTTATCCTAATTTACGTGCCCCAGAACAGAGACCTAAACAGAATCCCAGTATGAGGTGCACTTGAAGAAATAAGGGGCAACTAAACCTGAAGATTTATAAAAGTCCTATTTGTTTTCTTATACGATTTTCTTAGTAAGTTTATGTAGGTTAATTTTACTAACTTTTAAGGTTATCCTAACTGTTTTCATATAGTTAAAGATATCTTATAATTGTTTTTTGATACTTAAATATTGCATTTCAAATGGAAAATACTTAAGGCACATGTTTGGCTAAAAATTATTTGTAGAATTTTTTTGCGAGACTGTTTTCTGCAAGTGCTTGAACCTGAACCTCCGTCACAACCGATGCCCGGGGCTCAAACTGAAGCCAAAGCTGAAGCTTCAGCCAAAACTGAGGCTCATCATCGTCGGCTGGTCGGCGCATTTCACTGGAAAAATATTAAACACAAAGCGAGATACTGAAAATTGATTTCTCACCTTCGTGCACGTTATGGAGGTGGAGGTCTGCGGCTCTGGAAGGAGGTATCCTGTCTTTGTGGCTTATAATTAATTAATACGTAGCTGCACATGTACAAATACAGGTATAAATATCCGGATTTGGATATAGCACTTCGTGATTTGCACGCCCGCCGCGTTTCGTTTCGTTTTTTGCTTCGTTTGACGGGCTCGAAAAACATTTCAATAATCATAATCTCACAGAGAAGGGGGTATGGGCATGGGTATGGGTATGGTATGGGTATGGTATGGGTATCTATGGAGGAAGAGGAAGAGAAGGAGGAAGGGTTCTGGTTCGGGAACCCGCCAGACAGCCTGTCGCAGTGCCACCTCCCCCTTTTCCACGGGCCGCTCTCCTCCACTCGTAAATTAACATTTATCTGTGAATTTATTGCATCATCGAGAAAAGTTTTCAATTCGCTGGAGAAGCAGCCGAGAAACGTAGGAGCAATGGGTGTGGGGGCTATGGGGGATAGTCTGGTAGGTTGTCTATACCCCATACCATTCCCATTCCCAAGCACCTGTTGGTCAATGGGAAATTTATTTGTCATTCCTCTTGCACCATTTGTCGTGGCTTTTAATTTGCTTTCAAAACGCAGCTTAGTTTTCCATTTCGAAATCTACATTACACTCTTTTTTCGGAGGGTGTTGACTTTTTTCATAAGATTGGCACCAGATAAATGAAATTTTATGATATTTTATGATAATATAATACATTTGTGTATAGGAACTACATATGTACCTTTAGCTACCTAATCAAACATGAAAGTAATCTCATCATTTGATTTAATTTCTTTAATATTTTTTATAAAGCTTGGATATAACCAGTATCTATCAATCTATCAATAATATATATAATTATTTAGTGATATAAGGGCAGCCGGATATCGGCCTTGTTCCCAACTTTTAAGCCACCTCTTTAGATATTATTGTTTTCTTTGAATTTTGTTGGGACTTCGGCTCAGTTCGTTGGCCTCCCCCCCGGAAAATCCCCCCCTTGCCCAACTCGCTCGACGTGACATTTTAAAACGAGCATGGCATATAAAAATTTGTATGATATGATTTTTATAGACTCCAAATCGATTTTTTTATGATCATCGCTGCCGCTTTTTATGCGCTCGCCACGGTTTTATGTGACAGCAGTGCAGCGGGGGTTAACGGGCGGGGGTTAACGGGCGGGGGTTAGGTGTTAATGTTAACCCATTCGACGAGGCCCGGATGGCTGCTGCATTTGTATACTCTTATGTAATTATGTAATTAGGTGTTGAGGCAAACCATTCAAAAGAGCGAGGGGTCACAAAATACTGATGCTGCCCATGATGATGATGATGGCCATGATTATATGTATACAGGGGACCGTTAGGTGGGCTTGGGCCTCCTTATCGAGGCATTCGGATCGCACGACATATGGGCCATATGCCATATACGATCGATCCCAGTCAATATCCGGTCGTGGCCGATCGGGCGGCCACCTGTTGTGCCCCTTTTTCTATGTGCGCCGCATTTTTAATTTAATTTTTTGCACTCTCCTCCATATGCAAGCTTAAATTATTTCGTGCGGGCTTCAACTCGGAGCCTCATGCTCATCCTCCTGCTCCTGCTCCTGCTCCTGCCGCCGGTGATTAATAAAGCCAACATCCAGGTATAGGTATAGGTATAGGGACTGGGACTTCGACTTCGACTTGAGCTGCCAAAGCAACAGCAACAGCTGGCTGCAACAGCCTGGCCAATTCCCATTGCCAATCCCGTTCGTGGGAAGAGAAGAGCAGGGAGGCCGGGCCCAAAAACAGTCCCATAAGCAGTTGACTTTCTTTTTTATGGACTAATAATCATTTGGCCAGCTACTAATTGGCGATGGCTTACACGAAGCTCTTGATTTCCTGTGCATTTTCGATTTTTCCCCTGGCACCCCACTTTTAGTCAATATAATCCTTCAAATGAAATAAAGAGTCCAAAGGCCATGTTTTATGCCTACATCTAGGCGCCTTAGGGATTTAAAATGGATGCATTTTCCTGACGAAATTGCGGGTTTAAGGGCCAATTTCTTGCTCTTTGACACCAGGAATTTTATCAAAAAATCACTCATTTACTTCAACAAATTGAAAGGATTCAAAACATATTTTCTGCCAAAGTGCTGAATTTATTGGTCTCAGACACCAGGCAAACAGAAATCTTAGCAAGTGTCAGCTGGTAACTATGATTTTACTTATAGAACCGTTATTTTTCCAAATGGCTTACCTTTGCATATTTCCCCACCCCCCACTGACCAATAGGAATTGATCACCATTGGAAAGAACAGTTAGTTGCGAGCCAAACGCAGACCAGAGATGAGCAACCATGACCGTGTCACAAGCTTGTGACGAGCATGTCACGATTTTGTCACAAGGTTGTCACGATATGCAAGAAATAACAATTAAATCCTATGTATTTACTCAGGCCGTGACAAAAGGAAGAAATCACGGGAGCATCTCTAAGTAAGCTTGAATTAAGCTAATCAGCTGATTGTTTTACACGTACTAAACGTTTATGTTCGCCTGGTGCCTAAAATTAAGAAACCTAGCAACTCGACCATTTTCTCGACGAACAAATAAGGTATTTTCGACTTATGATTTCTATTATTGACATTTCAATGAGGTCTGAATTGTAGTTTCTTGGTCTCAGATACCAGGCAAACAGAAAACTTAGTAAGTGACAGCTGGTGGCTAAAATTGAACTTAAATAACTGTTCATTTTCAAGATGGCGTCCCTTTACATATTTCCCCTCCCCCCACTGACCAATAGGAATTGATCACCATTGGAAAGAACAGTTAGTTGCGAGCCAAACGCAGACCAGAGATGAGCATCCATGGCCGTGGCACCAGTTTGTCACGAGCTTGTCGCGATCTTGTCACGAGCTTGTCACGATATGCTTGAAGTAACAGTTAAGTCCTATGTATTTGCTTAGGCCGTGCCAAAAGGAAGAAATCACGAGAGCATCTCTAAGTAAGCTTGGAAATAGCAAATCAGCTGATTTTTTTACACCTACTAAACGTTTATGTTCGCCTGGTGTCTGAAAAAAAAATCTAGCAATTCGACAATTTGCTAGACGAGCAAATAAGGTATTTTTGGATTTATGATTTCTATTATTGACATTTTAATGAGGTCTGAAATGAAATTTCTTGATCTTTGACACCAGGCCAACATAATCCGTAGCAGGCGGCTGTTGGGCGTTAAACTTTTTTTTACTGGAAGTAAACCGTTAGTTTAGTATAGCAGACCAGAGATGGGCAATCGCTTGATCGGCCACAAATGCCCTACATATTTTAAGGTGGCACACCTCTAGTAAGGCCCTAAAAACTAATCGTTGGCCACCTACGAGTTTTCCTGTTCACCTAGTGTTTGAAATTGAAAAATGGCTAGTTTACTTCAACAAATTGAAAGGATTCGTATATATTTTCAGTCAAAGTGCTGGATTTATGGGTCTCAGACACCAGGCAAACAGAAAACTTAGCAAGTGACAGCTGGTTGCTAAAAGTAAACTTAAATAACTGTTAATTTTCAAAATGGCAGCCCTTTCCATATTTCCCCTCCCCCATCTGACCAATAGAAATCTATCTTCATAGGAAACAACCGTTAGTTGAAAGCCAAACGCAGACCAGAGATGAGCAACCATGGCCGAGTCACAAGCTTGTCACGAACTTATCACGATCTTGTCTCGAGCTTGTCACGATATACACGAAATAACAGTTAAGTCATATGCATTTGCAAAAGGAAGCAATCACGACGTCATCTCTAAGTGAGCTCTGATTAAACTGATCAGCTGATCGTTTCTCCACCTGCTAAACGTTTATGTTCGCCTGGGGTCTGAAATTAAATATATTATTTGACAGTTTTCTCTACGAGCAAACAAGGTATTTTGGATTTATGATTTCTATTGACTTCTTTATTTGATTGTATTGGGGATTTTGATAAAATTTGTCGGGCAATTTTCGATTTAAATTACCAGGCGGAAATAAAAACCCCATTAGGTTTGTAGAATTTACAAACGGTGTATTACTACAGAAACAATTTAATTACCTATTAAAAATGTGTTTTTTTTTTAAATGCAGTTAAATTAAACTGACTTTTCTTAAAGGAACTTTTGCTAGTCTGGTGGTCATTTAACCATCCTTAATCCCACTGGCATACCAAAAATCTTTAGTTGTATATGAATAAAAAGAACATAATTTTATAAGTTTTAAAATGGTTTTTATTTTCTTACTAAGCCTAATACGAAATGTACACTTATGGTAGGTGTTTACTTATTCTTATGGCGAACTATTTACAAGTACGGTGAGCACAGAGATACTCTTCTTTACTTCCTGAGCACCGCATTGGCACTGGAGTCCTGGTGGAGTGCGAGGAATACCCTCAGGCGGTGGTACGAGCAGGCCACCCGACATCCCCGGGTGCAGAACTCCCGATCCGCGCACATGGAGCTGGCCAGACTCCGCTGGACGACGACGAGGACGCGGCAGTAGTCGTGGCACATGTAGCACTCTGGTCGGGATCGGCAGAGGAGGGGGGGCGTGATCGCCGGCATGGACTGGCGGTAGCAGCGCTCCCGGCACTCGCCGATCCTCTGGGCTAGTCCTTGGGCACTCCCACTTCCAGTGGATCCGGATACAGAGGCGCCCAGCGCGTTTCCAGAGAGAAGAATGGTGGTCAGGCACAGGAAGTTGATCACGGTGATCTTTGGTACTGCCGCCATGTCTCTTGAGTGTGTCTTCTTAAATTGTCACAAATTCAAAGTGGTTATGTGTGGATCGCTTGAGTTTCCTCGGGCTTCTGATTGTCCCGGTCTGGTAGTATCGCCTTATATACCTCGACGATTTCATTCACAAAACGTCTGGAAAATCCCGGCTCCCTACCTGGTCACCAAATACCACTCGAGTCCAGGTCGGATCGGATCTTGTCGAGCGGGTCTGGATTCAGGTAATTGACAACACGTGTGCGCAACGCTTCGCCAACGAATTTTCATGAATGGCCGGCTCTGCGGGAAATCCCCTGGAATTTCCCGCCATTCATTTCGTTACCTGAAAATGGGTTGAATCCCGCGTTCGTTCCCTTGTGGCGCCATTCGGTGACAGTTTTTATTGTTGCGTAATACGTTTCTAACTGATCTATGGCTCGACTGACGGATCTACCTAGCTCAAACTCGAAAGTGGACAGGCGCAAGTTAATTGGGAAAGTTGTAGGTAAAACCACACTTATCCTCTCGATAAACAGCGTGCCAGGAAATTAGTCTTAGAGGAATGAGAAAAATCTGTAAAGTAAAGTATGGCTTACTAGTTTTAAGGAAAACGATGTTAAATTTAAAAGTTGTATAGCTCAGATATTTTATATATTTTGTAACGATTAAAGGATGTGTCAGAAAACTCACAAAAATAAAAATTTTTCTTCGATCATAGGGCTTCAACATTGCATCAAAATCTTGATGCAACGCATATAGTTTTACTCTGTTTTTAGTAGATCGTATTTATATTCTTTGCTTTCCCAAGTTACAATAAATAAGTATGGGAACTTCTAACATGAACTTTCCAAAATGTTCTCACTGAAAATAGAATAAACAAATAGTTAATTAGTTTTTATAACAACTGAATTTATTTCAGGTATGCTGGCTCCATCTATATTTGAGTATATTTTTCAGCCAAGGATTTGTATTTTTACATTTTACATTGGCAGATACTTAGGAAAGTGTATCCGCTGCTAAGGTGGGTGCCTCTGCTAGCATCCATTGCACAGCGGGAAATATCTTCGTCAAGATACCGTCACTTTAAGGCTAATTTTGAAACTAAAATCATTAACCAACATTTGCATTCCAGATGCTAGAAAGGGGGATACGAATTTTCAACAAAAAATCGTAGTTCGGCAAATTCAAGGCGTACAGCTAAAAGACCGACTGTTCTGAGCAGCTTGCTAGATATGCTAACGATCACTATCACTTTAAGGAAAATTTATTTTTTGGCAAATTTTCGCATTTTTTTTAAGGGGTAACATCATCTATTTTTGCGAAAAATGGAAAAAATAAAAAATTTCCGGGTTTGAATGTCAATCGATTGGAAATTAAACTACAAATCCAACGAGGTATGGCATTCCTCATTCTGACTTTTATTTTTATTTTGGCAGCCAAAAAACTGAGTTTTTATGGCAAAAAATAGGGTTAAACTTTTTGTGAAAAATGGAGATTCAGATTTTTGTCAAAAATGCGAAATTTTTTTTCGGTTTTTCAATCGTAGTTTAGCCAAATCAAGGCGTACAGCTAAAAGACCGACTGTTTTGAGCAGCTTGCTAGATATGCTAACGATCACTATCACTTTAAGGAAAATTTATTTTTTGGCAAATTTTCGCATTTTTTTTAAGGGGTAACATCATCTATTTTTGCGAAAAATGGAAAAAATAAAAAATTTCCAGGTTTGAATGTCAATCGATTGGAAATTAAACTACAAATCCAACGAGGTATGGCATTCCTCATTCTGACTTTTATTTTTATTTTGGCAGCCAAAAAACTGAGTTTTTATGGCAAAAAATAGGGTTAAACTTTTTGTGAAAAATGGAGATTCAGATTTTTGTCAAAAATGCGAAAATTTTTTTCGGTTTTTCAATCGTAGTTTAGCCAAATCAAGGCGTACAGCTAAAAGACCGACTGTTTTGAGCAGCTTGCTAGATATGCTAACGATCACTATCACTTTAAGGAAAATTTATTTTTTGGCAAATTTTCGCATTTTTTTTAAGGGGTTACATCATCTATTTTTGCGAAAAATGAAAAAAATAAAAAATTTCCAGGTTTGAATGCCAATCGATTGGAAATTAAACAACGAGCTCAACGAGATATGACATTCCTCATTCTGACTTTTATTTTTATTTTGGCAGTCAAAAAACTGAGTTTTTATGGCAAAAATAGGGTTAACATTTTTGTGAAAAATGGAGATTCAGATTTTTGTCAAAAATGCGAAATTTTTTTTCGGTTTTTCAATCGTAGTTTAGCCAAATCAAGGCGTACATCTAAAAAACCGACTGTTTTGAGCAGCTTGCTAGATATGCTAACGATCACTATCACTTTAAGGGAAATTTATTTTTTGACCAATTTTCGCATTTTTTGTAAGGGGTAACATCATCTATTTTTGCAAAAAATGGAAAAAATAAAAAATTTCTAGGTTTGAATGTCAATCGATTGGAAATTAAACTACAAATCCAACGAGGTATGGCATTCCTCATTCTGACTTTTATTTTTATTTTGGCAGCCAAAAAACTGAGTTTTTATGGCAAAAAATAGGGTTAAACTTTTTGTGAAAAATGGAGATTCAGAATTTTGTCAAAAATGCGAGATTTTTTTTCGGTTTTTCAATTGTAGTTTAGCCAAATCAAGGCGTACCGCTAAAAGACCGACTGTTTTGAGCAGCTTGCTAGATATGCTAGCGATCACTATCACTTTAAGGAAAATTTATTTTTTGGCCAATTTTCGCATTTTTTGTAAGGGGTAACATCATCTATTTTTGCGAAAAATGGAAAAAATAAAAAATTTCTAGGTTTGAATATCAATTGATTGGAAATTAAACTACGAGCTCATCGAGGTATGTCAATTCGCTATATGACCCCTTGCAGCATTATGCCTGCCAAAACAGTGAATTTTTAGAACGAAATATGAGACTTCGATTTTGGTAAAAATTCTCTTTTTCAAATCAAGTCGTACAGCAAAAGGACCGACTGTTTTGAGCAGCTTACAACAAATACTCACTTACAAGAAAATTTATTTAATTGAAAGTTTGGTATATAAAAAGTAAATTACAAGTTTATTTTTATAAAATATGTGTTTATATATAGAAAACTCGGGTAAATAAAAAAAAAATTATAAAATAATCAATTAAATATTATAAAAAAAAACGTATATTAAAATAGCTCTAAACCTTTTTGGGCCTTATCATCATTTCCGAAGCAGTAAGCGACACATTGTAGTTGTAGTTTTGCCATGTACCCCATTGAATTCCTTGGGGACCGTCCTTCTTGATGCCATCACTGTAGTACTTTCCATTTAGCGTGCTGAAATTGCAGGTGTTTAATTAGTTAGTTTGACTAGTATTTATTTTAAGATGACGTACCTGATGCAACAGGCCTTGTACCACCAACCACCAGCATGGTCCACAGCGCAATTGCCCCTTGCCTTGTCATTATCGCGATCGTATGTGCTGAACTTATCATTCAAATTGTAGGATAGAGAGTCTCCGGCCGGACCTTCAGACGCTCCCAGCGACTTAAGCGCATACGCTTCGGACTCGCTGCCGATTTGAAAGTTATCGTAGTGAATGTAGCTGGTGGATCCATAGAACATGCCGATCTTAATATACAGCTCGTGTGGCACAGCAGCTGTCATCTGGTGGATTTTCTCCAGCCCTAGGAAGAACTCGCCGTTTATGTTGCCGAAGCCATTCTTATATTCCTGCCAGGATCGAGCGAAGTCCACGGAACCGTTGAAACGCCTCTGAATCGTCATCCAACCAGTGGCGTTGCAGGGAACTGCAAAGTGCTTGAGTCCACGGGGCTTAACCTTATAGATACCACCTAGACCACCACTGGGACACCTATCTGTTCCATTCGACTTTAGCAGATCATCGGTAACTTCATTCAGTTCCTCCGAAACCGACTTGAGTTTATAGCTCAGACCGTTGATTTCCTTTTTGATGGTCGTTATGTCTGCATTTTGCTTCTTAATTAGGGCATCCTTCTTATCGACCACATCCTCCTGGACTTTGATTTGAGACAAAGCACTTGCCAACCGGCTCTCCAATTTGTTCTCCTTCTCCGTCAGCGTATTAACTTTGGCTACCAGTTTCCTTTGATCCTTGATTTGTTCGACTTGAATGCTCAACTGTTTGGTTAGATCTTTGATCTTGGCATCGTTGCTTGAAAGCTGACGACCTGCGACATCAAATTTAACCTTTGCTTCGGAAAGTTTTTTAGTTAACTTATTGATCGTATCCTCCTTAAGCTGGAGAACTTCCGATTGATACTTAATTTTATCAGCTTGTGCAGCTAGAACGTCTTCCTTGGAGTCCAATTCCCTTTCGGCCACGGTTAACTGGCTCTGCAAGTCCTTGATGGCCATTTCCCTGGTGTTTGCCGTGTCCTTCAGCTCGGCATTGGAATCGGATAACTGCTGGAGCTGCTGCAGATGACCCATCAAGGGATTCAAAAGTTCCACACAGTAATTATTGCATTGTGGATTTACTGGCTCTGCACCGGCAAAGGATTGCGACTTCAGAAGCCACAAGGACAGACAAATCGGCAACCATGCAAAATTCATTGTGTTAAAGCACTGTCGAACGAAGCACTCTGAACTAAACTTAACTAAAACTGAAGCATATGGGTGGCTTATATAGGCAAATGTGGCTTAAGATAAGAGGACTCAAGCCATTGTTGAATTGACACATAAAAACATCACTTTTTTATGTTAAAAATAATAATTAATTCTGAGTCATAGGAAAACAAAATTACACACAGCACATGACAATGCGAATTCCCAAAACTGATTGGGTCAAAAGTTGACGAGTCTACTTTTAAAACTCTTTAAGATTATACCCTTCAAAGTAATGCGCATTTATTTTAACTTAAGAGATATCGATTTTCTAAATGAAAATAAACAAATGACGGTTTCTCCAGCTCAGATTTTTTCAATTACTTATGATATACTCAAAACCTAAGGCGCCTCAGCATAAATTTACAAAAAAAATACAAGACTAACTTTTGATTAGTACAGAATTTGTTTTGATCATAAAAAACACGTTGTCCTTTTTATGAAATACACAAAACATAAGTGAAGCAAAGTAAAAAAATATCTCAGAAAATACATTTTCCGGAAATTCCGAGTTTAAAAGGTGTCTCGCTCAAGACTGTTAAAATCCTTAAAAATTGAGGATTTTATTATTGAAAACCAAGAAAACCAAGATTACAAATTAGTCATTTTAGGGTGGGTAAGAAATAGACAACATTATATTTTGATGCGCCAGAATATGCAGCCTTAAAAACGGCATGGGAAAGTATTACATTTACTTGAAGCATCCCCAAACGTATACCAGAAATAAAACGATCAGCACTTTTGTTTAATTTTTATTATTAAAAATGTTCTTTATATTGCCTTTGTTGTTTTGCTCATTTGCTGTGACCGTTCGTTCTCCTCTCCCCCGCTCTCTTAATCATCTTACCATCTGCATTGCTTTGTATCTCTATCTTCAATCGTTTATTTTAATTTCCATAGACAAATATTGTTTGTTTAATGTTCAAAGAGGAGCAGAGTCCACTGACGGACTCGATTTTGGCTTGGCTTGGATTGGATTGGATTGGAGGGGTCTTTTAGGATTGGATTGGTGGAGGTTCTCTTATATGTATAAATATAGGACACAAAAATAAATACAAACTAAAAACAAACCATACGCAATAGTGTACAAAAGTGTAGAGCTTAAAACATAAATAACAAAGCCGAAAACAAAAATTAGTTAACAATTCAAATAAATCTAAATACAAGTATTGGTTGTTGGTCTCCCATTCATCTGTGTGTGCTTGTCATCGATTGGTATCCTTGTTGAGTACAGGACTTGGATTAAACTAAGTACAATATCGGTTATTTCATGTTCGATCCCTTGCGCCTTAGGACCTTTGGGCACGGGTCTTGTGATGATTGAGCAGCTTCGAAATGGATTCAGATCGAGTGTGCATAACAGAACCTCAACTATATAGGGGGGCTAGGCTATATCAAATCTATTAAATATTAAATATCAAATATCAAACTGCAAATCGTCTTCCAATTAACATTCGACGACCTATTTAAATCACAGCTAAAAGGCAAGCATAAAAGTAATTAATTGAGTACACAAAACATCAACGACCTTGTCTCATTCTCATTCTCATTATCCTTCTCTGTCTTATTCGTGCCCAAAGGGGAGGGGGTTGGTTTGTGGGTGGGACTTGGATTACTGGCTCTCAAACATGTTTATGTACAATTCTGTTATTCGTTTACTTGACTACGCGTAATTAATTTATATAATCGTCATATTCTGTTTCTTCTGCCTTCCTTTCATTAAATAGTTAATATTTATAGTATAGCACCGAGTACAAAAAAATGATCAATAAACAGAGTTTTGAATTTTGTTTCCTTGGTTTTTCGTTTTTCGTTTTTTTTTTTTTAGCAAAACTAACAATTTTCTCGCTTTGCTTACTCATGTAATTTTTGTTTTATGTTTGGTGTTTTTTTTCTTTTGCTGTTCTTGTTATACAGAACGTTTAACGGTTGTTTGTTTGTTTGCTTTGTTACTGTTGTTTAATGTTTCGTTAAATTCTACTACTTATTTAAGGTAATAATTTCTGTTGCTTTCGTTTACGTTTTGTTGTCACAAGCGAATCGTCTCTGTTCTTCTTTCTTCTCTTACATCGTTCCATCGCCAGATATCTATGGGATACATAGATAAAACAAAAATAAGTAAGGGAAACATACATATGTATAAAATAATTAGAATGTTGGGTACCAAGACTACTAATAGGTAACTCAATGATACGATTCCATAACATTTTGTCATTTCGCGAATTCTTCAGAACTTACGAAATAATAATTTTGAGAAGTCGTATCTGCCTGACGGGCTACTAACTCACCTGCGAATGCGAACTGTCGCTCTCCACCTGCTCGGAGTAGCAGTGCTTATAGTTAAGATAGTCTAGAAGTCTTCTCGGTAATGGCAATGTCTGTATTAGATCCTTTCGTATAACCGCCTTTAGTATAACAAATCTGAAAGGAGAGTATGCAAAAATGCATTAAAAATGAGTATGGGATCCTAAAGAAGCATCCACAGAACCCGCAGAATCGCCGGATAAACCCACCTGCACATGTGCTGCAAGCTTTGTACATGCTTAAACCTAGATACTGGGTTGGTTAATTGCACACGCATTGGTCCGTGCTCCGGGCGACGATGCAGAAAGAATAGATATCTGGGGAGTACAATGCGGGTGTTTAATTGATGATCAAATGGATTTACTACTGGGTTGGACTAACCTGCCGCTTCGCGAATGCTCGACAGCCTTCTCAATGAACTCGGTGATGGTTTGTGACTTGAATTTGGCATACGAGCCAAAGGAGAAGGTTCCTAGAAATTCCGAAAAACCAGATATAATTTAAATTCACATTGGTAATCCAAGACAGGTCTCCCTTAAACTCACCCTGATCCTGCTCGATGCGCACATGGCGCACGCAGTTGTTCAGCTTGAAGCTGAGCGAGAATATGTAGTGGTCGTCGGAGCTATCGCGTACGATAAAGGAGCCGTCCGGTTCGCTGGAGAGCACCTTTTCGGCCGCCTCGCTGGACAGGGGACCCCAATACCAGCCGTACTAGGGGACAAGATCGGGATACGATTAGCTTTAATTCGGTGGAGAGAGGTCATCAAACCTACGTCTTTGACTTTCTCAATGCTGGATGTGAACTGCAGTGCCCGCGGCTCCTGGACCACGTTCGACTTTAGCTCCTCCGGTTCCGATTTAACGGCTTCAATGGCATAGGCTGCAGCTAAGGGGGGCACAGAGAAGTATATATCGCTTTTAGAGACTGGTTAACCGGCAATGGAGGCGCACTACACTCACCCTTCTTTGGTAGTGGTGGCAGGGCGCGGGACTGGAACTTCTTGCGCAGATCGGCATTGGGTTCGTCCGCTTCCGCCGTGATTGACGCCCCTCCCGCGCCGCCGCCGTTCAGTTCGGTGGCCAGCTGCGGTTGGCCCGCTGCCCCCGGAGCGCTGGTTATCACGGCAGCTGGCGGGATCAGGGGCGCCGTTGCCCCCGCATTCGCGTTGGCAAGGGTACCGGTTTGGCCGCCACCGGAGCCTCGGCAACGGCTGTGGTTGCTCCGCCGGAAACGGAAGATGCTACAGAAACGCTGCTTCAGGTTCAGCGTGAACTGTGACTTCTTCTCCGAGTGCAGGACGTGCTTGTTGTTCGGCGGCTGGAGCTGGTTGTGGTTGTGGTGCTCCGTCGGCGGCTTTTCCAGCTGCTGTTGTGATGGCTGATGGTTGTTGTTGTTGTTGTTGTTGAGCTTATCGTTGTCCAGGTTGTGTTTATTCTGCTTGCTCAGATACTTGCCACCGGCGCCGCTGCCTCCACCACCACCAACGCCTCCATCACTGCTGGCTCCTCCAGCCCCATTGGCCGCTCCTGGGGGACCACCTCCAGCTCGGGTGGTGCCCACACTGCTCCGCGTTCTCGCTGTGGTGGTGGTGGTATTGGTCGACACACTCCAAATGGTCTCGTTACTGGACTTGACCATCGGCTTGGGCGCGGGCTTGCCGGCATCCGAGTAAAGGGTGTGGTAGAACTGCTTCACCTCGTCCAGTGTCATGTGCAGTGGTTCCGATTCGGTGACCTGACCCATTCCGACGCCCACGGGCGTGCGGTATTTGCCATGCTTGCTCTTTTCCCCATCCCCGTCGCTGGTCTCCGTCCCGGCGCCCGTTCCAGATCCTGCGTAGCGCTGCTTGCGCTTGTTCCTCTTGTTTCGTCTGCTCGCCTTGTGGTAAGTGGGAGCCGTGGGCTTCTGCTGCTGCTCCTCGACCAACTGCTGCTGCTGCTGCTCGATCATGTCCACGGGGAAGGCGTAGATGTCCGAGTCGATGGGCACGTTGTAGAAGTCGGAGATCTCGCGCGTGAACAGCGCATCGTGGGACATGGCCTGGGTGATGAAGATGGAGTCGTCCGGCTTGTTGGCCGACGAGACATTCAGGGAGTTGTGCGAGCTGCTCAGGCGGCTGTTCAGCGAGTTCCTTGAGTTGGGCCGCTGGCCATGGCTGTAGCCGTAGCCCGGCTGGTGGTGGTGGTGGTGATGGTGACTCCCATGACCATGGCTATGGCTGTGATGGTAGTGACAGTGGCTGGTGTGGCCAAGCGGACTGTACAGCGAGGCCTGGCGTCGCTGCAGACTGCTGTTGTCCACCGGCTGCCTCCGGGCCCCGTAGTACAGGTCGTAGTCGTGAATTTCCGACAGGCCGGCACTGTTGAACCTCTGCTGGGCAGCCGCCGCCTTGGCACTAGCTATGTTGTCCTGCTCCGTGGGTATGGCCTTGAAATAGCGCGTGTGGTCCTGGTAATACGGGCACAGCGTCTGCTTAATCTTAACTATGGACACGGGCGGCGGCGGGGATGGCAGCGGCGAGCAGCTGCTGGCCTCCGACTGCTCCTCCTCCAGCAGATCCACGCTGTTGCCCAGCGAGCTGCTCACAATGTTGTTGGGCTCGTCGTA